AAGCTATCAAGACCTTCAAGCTACTACTGCGAAGCGTTGGCGCGAACGAACCGATCATGCTGCTGGGTGTCATGGAATTGCTCAATGAGAAGGAGAAGCCTGATCGCCAGATGATGATGGATCTTTTCTCCTTCTCACAATCCAATCAGTTCCATCTTATGCGGCCAGACCAAGAAGGGCGAGCAGAGTTCTTCAACAGCATCAGTCACTACATCCGCATGTCTCCAGCAGACTTTCCTGATCCAGATAACAGGAAGAAGCGAATCTTACCTGAACTTGAGGCTGCACCTATCGTTGCTCCAGTGGTTGACCCTAAGGAACTTGCCGCCCGCGAGAAGGCGCAGAAGAAACAGGATAGGCTCACCCTCAACAAGATGAAGATTGTCATTCAACCCATCATGGACCAACTGAAGAGGAGTCACAGGAAATTCTTTAAGCCAATTCTGGAAGAATCCTGGTATGCCTATCTGCTCGAGGAGCAAGATTCTGATCATGTGCGATCAGACCTGCCACGTGAGCAACAAGAAGAGCAAGGCGTTGTTCGTCCGTGGGAATTCTCCAAGGATTCCAAAGGCGTCGACGTTCTGCTACACGTCGACAGCGGCAACAAATACTACAATTTGGACCTCGGTACAATCGAGAAGCGCCTGTCCAACGGTTACTACAAGCGCCCTGCAGATTACCTCTTCGATATCAAGACTCTTGTAAAGGATGCAAGGACTTTTGGTGATGCAGAGCGAACCCTGAAGGGAAATGAGATGATTACGAATGTTGAAGTCGATCTGGACAACTTCTTCATGCACCAAAATCCTGGGCTTCTCCAAGAGTGTGAAGCGGTCTACCAGCGCGAACTTGAGAGGGAGAGGAAGGCGCAAGAGAAGCGGGAAAGAGCCATCGCCGCAAACAAGGATTTCGAGGATGTTGCACGTGTACCTCCAGAACAGTCCATCGGTACCACCGAAACATCAGGGCCTATCACCCTGGGTGAGCCTGTGCCTGGTCGTTTGGCCATGCCACCGGTAACTCCGCTGCGAGCTCCTCACACTGAAGGTCTATCCAATGGCACGAGTGGCGAAGGCACACAGCATGCAACGAATGGCTCTACTGCGCCTTCCAACGACGACACTCATATGACTGACAGTCAGGATCTGAATGCCAACACACAACACGACTTCCAATTCCAGACACCGAGTAGAATTGAGGGTCAGGGAACCCAAACGCAGAAGTCACAGATGTCCGGGCGGACTTTCATGGCACCGAACTCGCATCCCAACGACTACCACAACAGTGCCTCCACAACGACTTCTGGTCAGAAGACTTCGAACAGGTCTTCGGACAATAAGTTTGGCACTCAGAGTAGCAACGGCGCTGCACCATCTGGCGTCCCCAACTTTTCAGAGATGATGCCGGAGCCCAACGGGTCGCAGCTTCCAGACACACAAGGTTCGCCAACCCCCTTCCACCAGCGACTCCAGGTCTCCACTCGCTTCTCCCCAGAGCACAACACTGACCATATTTCAAATACAGAAGTCCACTACGTCAGCAGCCAGCCATCGAACTCGCAGCCATCGCAACCTTCTCAATCGTCTCAGCATGTTACTTCCATGCCTGCGCCCGCACCTCCACACCACTCGAATCTTAACCAGATTCTCAATGACGAGGAGCCGAAGCCGCAGCTCATCCTCGACGACAGCATGGTCATTGCGCTGCATGACAAACTGGTCCGCTCGACATCTGGATGTTCGCTCGAGCAGTTGGAGCAGATCAACGCCGCGCTCATGGACGCCATCTGGAAGCACCGTTCAGACTACAATCGCAACCTTGTCTTAAAGGAGGTCACCGAGGCGTTCAACGTCATCATCAAAGACATCGAGACGATGCAAGAGATTCTCAAGTCAAGCCAAGAAGAGGAAGAGGCCGAATTACGGCGGCAGTACCACTCCACACAAGACGACTGGTTCTCGCAGACACAGGCGCGTCGTTGAGCTTTGGCATAATGTGTAAATACCCATCTTTATGTGGGGAAGTTGGTCCGTTTGGCTGGCATCGCGCACGGTGTTTGGCGCAGACAGGGAGGTTCATCTGAGCGTCGCGTTGGCACGCATTTTTCTCTTGGTGGTTATGGCATTCTTTACGCGTTCTCCTCATTACCCTACTCATGTACTATGACCCCACTTTTCCTTGTTCTGTTTGTTGGGGGATGCATGCATGGTTTGCATTGGGGGATGGAGGGTTTTCTGGTGGTTGGTTTGATCACGCATTCATTAAGGTGTGGATGCGATAGTGGAGCAGATATCGAATTGATAGCGCTTGCCGCATAAGAATAACTCCCAAGGTATCTCTAATGTACAAACAAACATAACAGTGGTATACAATGTGCCCCCCAAGCGCCGCTGCTACAAAAAACGTCTCCTCCCATCTATGCATTTATTCATAAATACAAGTACTCGATACAGTGTGACACTTATAAGGATCCAAGCAACCATTGAAACTCGATTCTCTACAGTCGGTTCCCGGACAACCCCATACCTCCGGTGCGCAGCAGGTTTTTGTTGTCCTAGTCGTCGACTCTCCAGTATCAGTATCTGTTCTGGTGTAACAGAAATACAGGCCCGACCCGCAGTCCGCATTTACTTCACATGGTGCCATGGGGGGCAAAATTGAGGGCTTTGGCGTGATTTCGGCGCTCGCGGGCTGGGATTGGTTTGAAGATGTTTGTGCGGGCGTGGATGCCGTTTCGGACGGACTTGGACTGCCGAGAATAGCATCGAGAGTATCGCTGGTTTTGGATGTAGTAGTAAGCATCGTCGTGCCCGGGGTGGTGTTTGATGGTGATGACGGGGCGTCTGGAGAAGGCAGGGGGTTCGTTGGTGACTGAGCATGTTAAATCATTGTGATTACCGTATCTGGATCTCATATACTTACGTCTGCATTCTTTGCGTGATTATCGTTATTGGAATTGAGCTGCGTGGGAATAACGCTACCCAGAATGGCGCAGATCGCTACAACCGCGAGAGCGATCATCGCTATAGTCAAAGGATCTCTCAGATGATGTCTCGTATGACTCCGACTCCTCTTTTGCTGAGTTAATTCGCTATGGCTTTGCGAGCTTATGCTGGTATTTTGGCGTAGTGATCCACTGGGATTGCGTGGGCTTGACATTGAATTCTGATTGTCTTCCTGTGAGCCTGTCCTCGTATTCTGCCCAGGCACATTGACAGTAAGAACTTGATTGGACTGAGGCCCAGTGTTTCCCATGGAGTTAAGGCCATCGTCGTGGTTGTCGTGAAGATCAAATTGCGCATTATTCGCCATTATAGGCCTGCAACATGTGAGAAGTTAGGCGAGAGATGGGCGTACGTGGACGAGCGAGAGTGCATTTACGGGTTGCAAGTATGCCCAATATTTCAGGGTCAAACGATGTCCTGGAACACATGGACGGAGTCTCTTGCCCCTGGCATTGTGCCAGGGGCGGTTTCTCAGGTGAAGGACGCTCCGTAATTAGCACCATCTCTGCCCCCAGTGTATCGATACCCAATCAGTAGGATGCAGCAATCGAAGACAGAGCACAAATCCCTTGCTTAAGCGCCAGCCTTATACCACCGGAGAGCATGAAGCCCCCTGAAGGCCGCCCCGAAGTTGACCTTGGCCCTGATCGGGTTCACAACAGCTAGGGCTCTGGGTTTGCCTTCTCTGGATGCCTAGTCACACCGTCATTGACCGGGAATCGGCAAGTCGCTGCTTTTGAACAGTTGCAAGGCCTGGCTGGAGGCTGAAGATAAGGCAGTAAACAGCCCATAGGCATAAGTCGCTTCGATAATCACCTCTTTACTGAGGTAGTACCTAGGCAATTAAGGCGCTCCCTTTCGCATAATCGGATATGTATCTAGAGATGATTGTTTCTAGATCTGAATTATTGAGATCACTGCAAGGCAGTGTTGCAAGGTGCATTCGTAGCTTGGCAATGCAAGGCTGAGTATGGGGTTGAGGGCCAAAAGATCAGTCGCCAAGTGCTGCACAGTGCGACTTGCTGCAGTCGCGACACAATTTGTTCCGCCAGATTCCTAATCTGCAGATCCGCCAATCTGAGTCTGGATAGTCGAAACTTGTTGGGGCGATGTTCCGTTCCGAGGAGGGAATGTGTATGGCTGTTGACTTGAGCTGTGTAACCGTGTGAGGTTGGTGGCGCTACTCCTCATCGAGATAATCAGATAGCGTATGAGCGATCTTCTTCGGAGTTTCAAATCTGCGTAGTGCACTTGGGCTCTTATGCATGCGATGAAAGTAGCCAAAACAGCGAAGATGCATCTCGGCGATCTCTCGTCAGCCTGCTTTTCACCGGTTCGTGGCTGCAAATCTAGCCCTGTGCCCCCGATCATGGCTTCCTTCAGTGGCTACGGCATGACAACCCGACACTATTTTAAAACCTCAAACGTAGTCGCACCTGTACGCTTTCACCGGTAGAATATAGGTGACTGCATCCTGCACCTGTTGAAACAAAATGCACATTTTTACACCTGCCTACCTTTTAGCCGTTGTAAACTTGTGCGACGTGTCGGCCTTTTGGGGTAGATATGGCCATGGAGATTGTGGGGTGCGCGGCAAGTGTAAGTCAGCTGCTGGTCTATATAGCCTTGTCCTCCGGCCGCTTGGAGAAACTATGCGCTGAACTGAAAGACGGCCATTCAACCTATCGCGAAGAAGAGTCGAATATTAGTCTCTTACTGAGGATAATTCAGCGTCTCTCACGCCAGCATATTGAGAACGAAGATTCCATACTTCCTGTGCTGATAGCGATTTCTACACTCGCGTGCCAGGCGCTACACCTTCTGCGGCCCAACAAGGTCCTTGGTATCAACTGGACCCCTATCACAGCCCACGAGAAGATCAAATCAGCATTCCAATCACTCGACAGAAAGAGAACGTTGCTCCATCTCTATATTTCTCAAACTCATCACGAAGTCCTCGTAGATCTTCGGGAGATTATCAAGACGTCCAATATGTCTTCCTCAAAGAGACCTATGTATGAGAACCCGGATACTTCTTCAAAGGGACCCTCGGACGACGCAAATACAGACAGACGGGGGAATACTTCTGTGCCGACTGGAGTGACGCAGGAGCGGACTAAGGGTCCCCGGGTAAGCAGCTCTTCCAATGACTTCGTGGAGAGCTTTACTAACAGTTTAATAGGTGGAGATCAAGAATTCTACTAACAGTGGTCTCCACTCGATAGGGAGCGGCCATAATCCTCCCGAAGGAGACTTCAAAATGGATGGTTTCACCCAGACTTCAGAGGGGGTATTTGCGATGGCGAACCAGGAGCAGGTCAGCGAAGCTACCATTATCGCGTACGCTCGTATCCGTAATCCAGTCCAAACAGCTGCCGGAACTGTCCCTCCGGTAGCTCATGCGCACATGGCAGCCCCAGCACCTGCGGCTACCACTTTCACCCAAAGGATGCCCGCTCAACCCAGCACGGATCGCGAGCCATCACCTAGTTCGCCGGAGGTCTCAGACCCTGAGACCCCTTCAGCACACGACACGGCTCAGTCGATGGGTCAACACAATATCCAAGCGCAACAAGTGTATGCCGCTCCTGGTGATAGGCGCATGAACGATAGCGGGATATCTGTGACCACACAGCCACAAGAAGAAATTCCACTTTCACAACAGCAGTCCAGTAAGCGAGACGGGAAGCGAGGCAAAAATTCCGGAAAACATGGTATAGATGTGGAAAAGAAAGATGGTCAGTATCGTTATAGAAGACCTCACATGGGAGATAATTAGGACCCACGAGCTGAACCCAAGTGGCCGTATACCGAAAGAGCATGGCTAGATACGCAGGATTCGAGGACCGGAGGCACAACATACGCTATCGGGCGTCTTCTACGCACAAATATCAATGAAATGGCTGTCATGTTGACTTCCATATCGCGAATTTGTGCTCAGTGTGTGTGATGCAGTTGGCGGATATGTCGAGGCGATGGTGCGAGCACGCGCACACGACTACGAGCACACGACTACGAGCGCACGACTACGATTTAACGACTCTATTTCCATTACTGCACCAACACGATCTGTGGTTGCATCTTCTAGCGCTTTCTTATTGAGCCTAAACACAGTCGTGTTAATTTGGCCTTTTGATCATCACCGAAGGCGTACGTGCGGATTCATCGCGTTGTCGATATGTTCGGACCAGCTTTTGACATATCTCTTCCCAGTTAGCAGCTGTAGTATGCGCGGAAAATACTTTACTTTTTCTCCGAAGTCGGTACCCCTTTCCAACGCCTCGCTTCTTCTGCATCCACTCAAGTGAGCTTAGTGCAGAACTGTGACGCATATCTAGACGCATCTAAACTATAGCGGAAACCTTCTAGAAGGAAGATAATCGATGTCAGATCTGCAAAACCCAGGTGCGTGCCCAGAGATTCGGATGCGCCGGATGCGCATGTCAGCGACAAGAAGCTGTTGTCCATGCAAGGAAGAAACCGAACAGGTGTGAATAGGTCTTCTCCTACGTGGTAGCCCAAAGCGACGAAAAATAAGCATCTTAGAACTACACGAAGCATTCTTGACTTCTAGCTCTCTACTTGAGTATACGATGCCCTGTGCTTCACATCGTGGTAGGCACACTTTGAATTTTCCGTGCTCTAGACGCTGACGGCCTCTCTCACATGCGCGCTTGCCTCCCAAAACCAGTTCGTACTGGCCCAGGAGGGCGGTAGCTTCTGTCGCGGTCGGTAGAAAGTCGTGGGAAGCGGGCCGAAGGCGAAAAAGGACGCAGATGCCGAAAGTTTGACGTGCAGCGAGCCATCGTATTGTCATACAAGGCTGAAGCTCCTCGAACAACTTTCCACGAACGGAAGGTCAGGAGCGATATTACGCATGATCGGGCGTAGGCACTTGGCTGGCTGAGAAGGATCGCGACTGTGCTCGGCCAAGTCATTTTTCCCGGGGTAAAAGAAAGGCTAACGGGCCGTGCGCGCATACTCATCAAAAGAAGGCCCTCCTCAAAGCATGACGAGAAGAGCTCATTGGAGTAGCTGGTGTTGATTAATCAAGATCTTGTGTCTTGTGTTCCGAGTCGTGTGTCGCATGGCTCGAATGCGTTTCGATGCCTGTGCACACCAGGGCTTCCATACCTCTTTTTCTAGAAAGATACCCACGTCCATCTCCCGTGGATGCGTCGAAGGGTACCACATTTGTCGTCAACCTGCGCACGCCATGGTTTTGGTGTGCAGCCGTGCGCAGAGCCCACCGGCAGTCCGGCTGCTTTGGGGATAGGCGGGCCAGGCGGGCCATTGACACTACGCTCGGATAGCCCGATGTTTGAAGCTTGCGTGAGATTGAACGTACAGTGTTCAGAGCGTAACATGTTAGTGAGATTCAGTGCTTCGCTTCGTGACGGAGATTTTGCACCCAGAGGGAACCTGGTTAGGAGAACCTGGTGTTGATGATCTTGTCCTGGGGGATAATCCGGAGCTAGCGCCGATCAGATTGTAGTGACCTTCATCACCACCGCAGTCGCGCCGCGACATGAGACCTGGACTCGATGAGTACACGATGTCGTTGAGAAGAACACGGCTCATTGCTTGCGAGTGTGTAATCATCCGGTGTTTCCACAAGCTCCCGCTGCCTATCCACCAACCACGATCTGAGGTTTGACCTTCACATTAACCGAAGGAAGAGCTCCTCGTGGCCCAGCCGAAGCCACTGACCCTCTTCAGTGGTGCCGAGACTTTTCGACACTCAAAATACAGTAATGCCGGCCGTGCCGCAGGTCGGTCTTTGGGTCGGTGGTATGCATGATCGCACGCCTGTCAGATGACGCTCTGTTCCCCTCATCCCAGGTGGGAGGTTCAGGTGTTGTTGACTTTCGGGTGAGTTGCTTCACAGACCACCGTGTTGCGCAGAAACCACGAAGCAAAAGACGACATAACGGCGGGCGCAAGATTGAAGCCACTGCCTTCTAGAGCATCCCCACGCGCCGGGAATACCTCCTGCTACGTTTCGCATACAACCCGCTGCAACGCTTGTGGGCTAGCAAGCACCTTCCCACGCTGCGGCTAGGACAATGTGGATGCCACGAGCGACGCTAGCGTTGATGGGTGGGGACCGGGGTCATCGCGTCTCTTCTCCCCAGCTTATAGTGGATCTGTAGATTACGATACTCCTTGTCGTGGGTTCATGGCATCTCTCAGCAAGCTGGGGCCCTAAAGCCGATTGTACATCATCGCCGCTTGCCCCCATGGTAGTGCCTCTCTGTGCCTGCGCTGGTGCTCGGTCAAACGCCATATTTTTACTTTACTTCGCCTACGATATATTTTTGACTTTAGGTTCGACATGTTAGTTTTGGACAGCCGGAGGCCTCTTTCTTTTTAGGTGTACCCTATATACCCTTCGAAACGTTGCAGGATCAATCGTTCGTCAATCGCAATGACCATTCGGGAACCCCTGGACGTCGAATCGGCCTCGTTCGTACTACCGGCACATATTCATCCGTGGTTACGCTCAGTTGTCGCTCTGGGATTCATCAGCTTCTTTGCATCAGTAGCACTGCTTTTCTTACTCACCTATAAACTGGTATCCTGGCAACTACGGTCGAAACGAAGCAACCAATTCGTCATTTTGATATTCAACCTCCTCTGGGCGGACATCCAACAGGCGCTTGCCTTCTTACTGAACGTCGAATGGCTACGACTGGGATCCGTCGAAGTCACCAATCCAATATGTTTTGCGCAGGGCTGGCTGGTCTCCACGGGTGACTTGGGAAGTGGAGTTTGGTGCTTCGTTATCGGATTGCACACATTTGCTTCCGTCATCTTGGACTTCCGCCTGAAACCACGGAGTTTCTACATCTGCATCTTTCTTCTATGGGCCTTCATCTTGGGGGTATCTTCAATCGGCCTTGGTATACATGGGCAAAGCATCTACGTACGATCCGGAGTATGGTGTTGGATCCATCACGACCTAGAAGATTTACGGTTATGGACCCACTACATCTGGATTTTTGCCTTGTAAGTTCCTGAAACCCAAAAGACGTATTACTACTCTAACACTTGTTGCAGTGAATTCGGAAACGTCCTGATATACGCCATTATCTATGCGATGCTGTCGATCCGAATCCGCTCCGGCTACTACACGACCGAAGAAGCCAAGCGCGTACGTTCCATCGCAAACCTCATGGTCGTATACCCGCTCGTCTACGTCGTATGCACTATTCCCCTAGCCTCCGCCCGAATGGCGTCCATGTCCGGCAACCCACCCTCGCTTGCTCGCCTCTGCTTATCAGGAGCAATGATCACATCAAACGGTTGGCTAGATGTACTTCTATACGCATGCACCCGACGCATCATGATATTCTCCGATGAGCCACCCTCTGACGACGACGTCATGGACACCTTCGCTGCATTCTGGATCGAGAAGCCCAAGCGCTTTGGAGGCGAATGCACAATCGAAGCGACGAACGCACATACAAGGAGAGGACGATCGAAGAGTAGGATTACGTTACCATCAGGAAGTGAAAGCTCAGACGATCTCTGTGGGTTCGGTACAAAAGACATCAAGCTGGTCACTACAACAAAGGTCATAAGCGAGCCGGCACAGCCGGAGGACTTTGAAGAGATGGATGCCGAGGCACGTATCACACGACCTCGTACACCGACAGGAAGATGGAGCGAGGAGACGACAGATACGGACAGAAGTCGCAATCTGAGTTTGAAGGAACAAGCGATACCTCACATCGCACCTTGAGGCTGCCTACTTGGATACAGAACAACAAACTATCATTGCGACATGCATCGGCTGTCTACATGTATACGAGAAGAATGGCAAAGACTAGGGACTTGCACCTCTTATGGTCGTCCCAGAGTCAGCACCAGAGGCCCACTGGAGTCATTCTGCGCAAACGCAGGACGACGTCCATGTATCGTTGCCGGGGAAATACAATATACAAGTGACCACCGCTACTAGAAGTGCCGTCGCTATAACAGCGCGGCACGTGCATGAAGCGAGGGCTTCGCCCAAACATATAGACAATAGAGACGAACATTACGACCACCTATCTCTCAGACGATGCACTGTTACCACTCTTATATGTTCACATACATCGTAAAACCTATTCCCCACAAACAAACACCATCCCATCTCCCCTAAAGACTAGTCCCCGTCCCATTCGCCAACGCAGCAGTCAACCTCTTCCCATAATCCAGCGTATACGCCGAATCCACAAACTCATCGAAATACTTAACCTTCGTGCCATCCTCCGTAAACGTCAAGATAAGCGCGTACTCATTCCCATAAGGTCCAATCGCAGTTGTCGCCGTACTCCGCGCGTGAATAATGCAAGTGTGTGCCTCGGGGTCATGCGTTTCTTGTAGGACTCTAGCCTATAGTTATCTTGGTCAGTTGTCTGGCTGTATTGGTGTGCTTTGGAGATAAGAGGATGTGTACCGTGAAGTTCTTGTACAAAGGCTCGATTCTTTTGAAGAATACGCGGTATTCGTCGTTGGTCATGGCTGTGCGGTTCAAGCTGGCGGGTAGGATGTTTTGCTTGCAGTCTGGGGTTCGGTAGCCGAGGATTCGCTCGATGTCCCAGGCGTTGTAGGCGGCGATGACTTCTTTGGCTACGACCTTTTGCGCGGCGAGACTGTGTGGTTTGTTAGACGGATGTATTGGGAGATTCGAGGTTCTGGAAGTCTTGGAGAGAACCATGGTAGTTACTAACGGGAACTTACTTGGCTTGGGAAATGATTTCAGCGTTGACGAGACATTTGTTCAAGTTCAGGCCTATCCATATGTCGCTGGTAGCCAGTGTTTCGGGGCTAGGGAAGGATGAGGCAGCAGCGAGGGTGAAGATAGCTGAGGTGAAAAAGGTTGAGGGTTTCATGATGGCTGTATGGCTCGACTATGGGTTCGGTGTCACGTCGTGTTGAATACTTGCGTGAGTAGAAGTATATTAAGTGTGTTGATGGGAGACTTTATATACTCTTGAGGTACCACTACTGATGCATGCCGCTAGAGTACCTCGAACGCCAACGCTAGGCTTGAGAACATTGGCTTCGTATCATAGGGTTGGAATATCCGGCTCGCTGAGTCCATCTCTCGTTTCTGCAGCCTCGAAATGGGAAACAATAACATGGCTTGAGAAGGATGCCCTACTCCACTCACTACCTTGCCAGAGTCACACGGTCTTCTACAGCTGGAAGTTCGTTAGCTAGAGAAGAATCACCCATGGAGAAGCTCGGGTGGACGTCATCGCTAGGCTGTGCATCGGCTGGTCGCTTACTATCGCCACGGTAGAGACGGAACACTTCCAGTTACGGATTGTGGCTTAACGCTGTATCGGGCTCAATGTGGAACTTGATATCCAGTGTTGCATGAGGCTTGGTGGGCGAGCTTGCATACAGCTGAGGTCGAAGACTAAGGTAAGCGAAGCGAATGAAAAATGTCGGACTAGCAGCCGGGACAAAACTTCGGGACTCGTTGTGCGTCCATTTTGTAGACCTAAGGTCTGGGTATTTTGGGGGCCTAAATGGCTCTACTTCTAGAGCTACTGGCGCCTGCTTGTTCTTCTTTGTCTCCTCCTCACGTGGATATGTATATCCCTTGCCGTAGTGCCACCTTGACCAACCAGATTTGGCTCCAGACTAACACCTCAGTCGCAAGCCAAGCTGTGAAATCGTAATGAGAGACTCGTTAAATGTAGAAACTACACAAGCGATGTCAGTCAAATCCGAGAATCGCTAGTGCCTTAGGCTAGATGTAATCGTCAGCACAGTGAGCTGAATGATGGCCGAGGCGTGTCGGAATTGCAAGATCCCCTTTAAGCATATGAAGTCTGAGTGAAGTGGACATAGCAGGACGCCCATCTTCTTGCTCACGAGTTCACATGCTTACCCATTCCATCCAAGCCTCAAGGAACTTCAGTCTGCCCTGCCTCATATGCTCCAAAAACTCCTCGAAGTTGACCAGCCCGCTTCCTTTTCGTTCGTCAATCTCCTGCTCAACAGCCTCAAGACTCGCTAGCATTATGAGATGTAAGTTAGACTTCGGGTTCATAGCGAGCTGTCGAATCGAGCGCTGCAACGGCTTAAGTTGATTCGCCTCAGGGTCATGTGGACTCGCGGAATGATTGATCGGGTTACGAGCGCAAAGGAATGTGTCCACGCCCTCAGAGTCTTGAGCGAAGAGATAGTAAAACTCTGGATTGTCGGTGTACCATCGCCAATTGATCGTGTAGGGATCATCTTCTTTGTCTTGCTGTTGCACCGAAGAGTCAGGCGGAGGAGCCCCTACAGAAGAGTCCATACCATCAGGTATCAGGGGCTCAGTTTCGCCAACGGATCTTTGCCCCGGATAACGTTCCAGGCCATCGTAGCCTGCCGCGATGAAGAAACAACGATTCATAATATCTTCGCCCGAGGTTATCGAGGATGTGTCAGTGTCGGAAATGACACTACTATTTGAAGAGCTGTTCGAGGTAGTCTGCAAAGTCCCTGCAGATGGAAGATTGGACGAGTTCGGCCGAAATTGAGGCATGGTAGGATCCCTGTGAATACTAGGCAGACTCTCATTCACAAGTGGTGGTATCAGCCAGCCTTTGTTGTCTATACACTCCATGGTAGCATCGACAACCTCTGATCGAAGCCGTGACCTGATCAACAAAGTGTTCCACGTCGTCATGTTGTCAACATTTGTGGGCCTGGAAACCTTCACGGATTGGAGCACTTTCGCTTCCACACTGTCGTAAAGTTCTTCGACCACTCGGCATGCTTCTTCTTGAGTGCATGGCGTATCGTCGCCGTTGCGGAATAAGCTTTTAATAGGGCGTACATGGTTAAGGGCCCGACAGAATTTATCGATCATGCACTTGGAGTATCGAAAGGCACCGACGTGAACAATGGCTTCGACAGCAGCCTTACTCTCTGTGAAGTGGTGCATAGTCAGCTCGTCGATAGCGGCTGCCTTTGCGCGACGCTCGTTGCGCATCTCATGTGCGTCCATGGCCATATCTTCTTTCTCAAGGAAAAGCGGGTTAAGCAATTCGTTAAAAGCCTGCTGCGTAACCTGATACAGTACCTCTTTGCCAAGATCTTGCTCGGGCTGAGGTATCTCATAGCCACCCCAACGCTCGCCGACAGGCCTGGATGATGAGGCGTTGGAGCGTGTGTCCATCTCCACGTCGTCCTGAAAGCGGACCCTTGAAGATGACCGCGAGCTCCTGTTGCGGGCCAAGTCTTCGTTTGTATCTGCGGCTTCAGTCGTTCCGTTCGCACCATCGGCAGTCTCTGGCTCACCAGGGTCTGATTCCTCAAACCCTTCGGGCCGCGTTAAGCCTTCTTCTTCGTCAATGTAGTATTGTCTGCGGGCCCATCTCCGAGTGACGATGTCCGCCTGTTGTTCCCCTGGCGTTTGCGGTATATAGGTGGGTGCGACGACGTGATGGATACCTGCGGTCCCTATCATCTCAGCCCGGTCTGCTGCATCGCTATTGTGCTCAAGCAGCGGTGGAGTCGTAATCGCGTCTTCTTCCCGCTTGTGTCGTAGGCGGGGGTTGTTGGCGTTCGAGGCAGCCATATTACGGGGCGTGAAGGCAGAGCCAAGTGGCTGACTAGAGCGTATTGTGTCCAAAGCTGTTCGCACAGTCACTTCGTCCTGCAGCTCTGAGATGTAGTTTCGTGTAGCCTCCTTCTCGATGGCGTAGTATGCCCTGAATATGCGTAGTACGTCCTTGCGCGATATGTAGCCATCTTCATCGATGTCGTATCCGTTGAAGACTATTCGGGCCTTGACATTCACATCAGAGTCGTGCATGCCGTCCAGACCCTTGACCCACTCATCAAACCCGATGAGGCCATTCTTGTCCGTATCATAGTATGCGAAGATGCGATCGTAGACGAGGTTCGGTGCGGCGACGAAGCCGTTATAGCGAGGGATGAAAGCGTGGTTGAAGTCGCGTCGATCGATGGCCCATCCTACTCCAGTTGCATCACCCGCCCACTCGGAGCCTGCGAGACAAGTGAATTGGTCCCACAGTGCCTCAATCTCTTCTGCTTCCATCTTGGTCTCGGCTACGAGGCGTCTCTTGAGGGCTGGGTCGATCGAAGGGCTCATCATGTGAGGCTTGCCGGGGTAGAGCGGCTCCTGTTTCTGTAGGCTCAGATATGGGGCAGGTACGCGGACCTTGTAGAAGATGTGGTTCTTGTAATGCGAGTTAGTTGCTTCGCAGTTGGAGCACAGGTCGAAGTCCGGGCAGTTGGCGCAGTGCCACCTGGTGCCGCGGATGGGCTTCTCGTCACATCCATTGCATGTGATTCCACGATGTATGACGCCCTCCAGTCTTGCGCGATCCTCCGCAATGTGGTATAACGTGCGCTGGAGGGTTTGGCCTTCGGGATCGATAGCGTCATCCGCGTCCTCGTCGCTTCCCAACGAAACGTCTGTAGCTGCGACGCTCTCGGCGTCATCGAGAGCAAGATTATCGCCAGGAGGGAATATCTGCGCATGTCTTGCCGCAGCGCGGGCTACTGCCGCACGATGCACTCCTGCATTATCGGGGTTGCGATGTTGCAGCCAGATACGGATATCATCTGCCTGCGACGGGGACAGAGCGCGGTCTGGGTAGAGTACGACTAGTAAGCGGTCGAGGAACTCGTTGTAGAAGCTCTCGGTGAGACGCTCTATCGTATCATTGTCGGCGTGTGGCTGCGCGCGCAGGATCGTGTCGCGCAACTCGCTCGGCGTGCCCAGATTGCGAGGGTCAAGCGGTACCTGGTAACCGAGGAGGTCGTATAGGCCTAGAAATGGTATTTCTCGTTCGTTCAGAGGGAGTGAGGGTGCCGAGGGCTGGTCGCGTGGACGCCGTCTACGGACCGCATTGCTGCGCTGGAGGCCATCGCCTGCGCCGGGGCTCTGGACGTTGGTGACAATGAGATATGTCGCGTATGCAGCGGATACGCCGGCGAGGAACAATATGGCGTTCCTAGAGCGGGATAGGGTAGAGGGCGTAGACGCCGTCATGCTCGTAACGATGCTTGGTCTTGGACGGGCGGTAGCTGGTTACGCCGCGGTGTAAATATAATGGAATAGGCGTTGAGTGGCACATGGCAGGTGTTTCCCTACCAGTCGTGCTGTTGTCACCCGTTTGAAGTCTTCATGGCGCAGAAAGAACGACCAAACGCGCTCTGGCGAGAGCGAACGTTCCCAACCCTCCTGCCCACATTGCGACAATCGCGGCCACGCGGCTTACTCAGCATCATCCCACCGACTTCCGAAGCTCCGTATTGGACAGAACACCTTCACATATTCCCAAAGCAACAGGGCTTTGGACATTGTACTTCGTATTAGCAATTAACTATCTACTCTACCACGCAGCATGGCCACCATCCATCCTAAGGTCTGCGCCAGTCATGAATGAACTAGCATCACTCAACAGGAAGACTGCTGCACCACGGTATTCCTCCGGCTTCGACAGACGACCCAGCATGTTCTGCGTTGGCCATGTGTCTCTTCGCTCTGGGTACTTCTTGAAGAGCTCCTCCACCATTGCCGTCACAATGTATCCTGGCGAGATTGTGTTGACGCGGATGTTGTGCTCGCCCCATTCCGATGCGAGGTTGCGAGCGAGTTGTATTACACCAGCTTTGGACGCGTTGTATGCTGAGCAGATTAGACCCTGTTGACGTTGTTAGTGTGAGAAACGGTAAGGACTTGGGACCGCCATACCCTGTTTGCGACAGTACCGGACATGCTGGCGATGAGCACGATACTTCCTCCAGTTCCAAACTTGATCATCTGCTTCGCGGCTGCTTGCGCAGTCATCATTACACCGGTGATGTTGACCTCGAACATGCGGTTCGCGTCTTCAGCTGTGTACTCCAGCGCAGTGGTTTCTTGCTGAATACCTGCAGCAGCGATCAACCCATCCAGTCTGCCTTCCTTGTTGGCGATTTCCTCAACAATCTCGTGGAGCTTCTTCACATCTCGAACATCTATTTGGCGGTATTCGAGCGAGGTTCCGTATTCTTTCTTTGCTTTCTCGGCGATTGGCGCAAAGTCTGCTGAGGGTTCTTCGAGTCTGTCAAGTGCGTACACTGCAGGCGCGTGTCAGTTTGATATCCTCCGGTCGCTCTTGACATGTGGAGATGCATACCTCGTGCGCCAGCTTCCAGCAACGCTTCGGCTTGTGTCAAACCGAGTCCTCGAGCAGCACCCGACACCAGCACCACCTTTCCTGCTAGGCTAAACTCTGGAAGTCCTTGGGTAGCAGGCATGGTTTGGATCATTGAATATCAGCGATATACGAAAAGAGACGAAACAGGACTGAAGATCAAAGTATGCGTAAACAACGTCGCTCGCGGAAGGGTATTTATACAAAAGAAGAAATGCGAGATCGGTTCGTCAATTCCACGCAAGCCGGGGCCATTGTGGACTTTTAAACCGGCTCCAGGCGGAAGTCTGGTCACCGGACTCTCTTGGTATAGGCCTGGCCTCGGACTGTCTTCCTCCACGGCATGCATGGACGATTGTGGAAGACCGCGATGCTCTGTTTGCGGGGAAGCCTCCCGGCATCTTCTGTGGATTGCCTAATCGGGGATACCGAAAGGTCCCCGCGGGGGATTCCAAGTGGACTTTTTGGAACGTCACCCATGTCGACCAGCGTGGCGTGGACCCTGAGCCAGTTGGGTGCTCGGCCTCGAGGCGAGAATCCAGTTCGGGTTCGGGACATAAAGGTCCATGGTGCGCGTGAAGTTTGACACACGCGTATGAGTGCACAGTCCAAGTCACTCAACGCGGTTTTGGACAGCACCAGTTCGCTGAGGTAGCTATCGAGATGACAATGTATGTTACTATATGAGCTCGTTATCTCATGGATTTGGCTGCAGACGCAACCATGAACCATCTGCATACAGACTCTGAGAAGGCTGTGATGGCTTTCTCTAATGGTCTGAGAGAGCATGAAAGCCATGTCCAACACGCGGTCGTGCAGAAAACAAATTGATGGTGAAAGCAAAAGAAGCACCGCTACGTGCTCTCATTCCACTTTGTTTGCGTTCACTTACCGTCCTGGTCATCTGCATGCCGAAAGCAACGTCTAGACTCAACTTGCGACAGCCTCGCCAACTGCGCCCTGCCCTGCCTTCTGTGATGAACCGCCCTGGGCCTGATCGCTCAGCAACCGCCTTGTAGGCCGCCTAGGCACAATTGCGCGATCACACGATGCCTAACATCGAGGCACATGTTGCGCGAAGAAGGCACAGCTAAGCCCCCCGTACGGCACAGTTCTGTGTCGCGAAGCGCCGCCCAACAACCTTCACAGTGCAGTTGAAACGTCCAAAGTTGAGAACGGAAGTTGATAAGCGACTCTGGAGTAGAGCAACGCCGCGGGCGGAAATATCAAAGAGATGTGCGCGCAGCGTGAAGGTCACGAGAAAGCCAGCCGCTGTGCGCTCGAAAGGATGGTGTTGCGGGCTTCAGGCAAGCCGGTCGCAGCTGCCTCCCACAGTGCACCCAGTGCATTGTTCCAACAACGCCTTTCATCCACCAAAATACCCCATTGTGCCCGCCCATCTCGATAACAATGTCGCTGAAAGCCTACGCTGCGCGCATGCCTACCCACAGCGCCTCGCTCGCACACGCGCTAGATCCCGCCCGGTGAGGCTGCCTCCAAGGCCCAACGCCGCGGGGCAGTGCATGCAACCACCCATCCGCAAAGCAATCAACCAACGAAAGAACGCCCATGCTGAAACCCCGTTTAGACGCCTGAGGCAAGGCACGGCGCAAAAATGTCTCTTCTCAGATTTATTGAGGCGCGGTACCAAATGTAAGCGGGAACCTGGCAGATTGACAAGTCGTGTGAGGCTGCTTGCTGCGCCTTCAGGCCGAGATGGTGGTTTGTTGTTAGTTGTGTATGTGGAGGGAGGTGATTGACCGGGAGAGGGGGAGTGGGAAAAGGGATATGTAGGGTGTGGGTTCGCGCTTTGGGGTGTTTTGTTCATACCAAGGACTTCTACGCACGAGAGATTCGATTGTACCTCCTGTGTGTATACGGCCTGCATCTGGTACATCCCTTATACTACACATATCTACATACTATCGATACCCACACACATAATGGCACCCCGTTTCATCCACTCATCAGTCTCCAAACCATCCTCCCATCAAAAACGCTCAGAATACTGCGAAACGACATACGACTCTTCGTGCAACACCCACCGCACCGTCCTTCTCATCATCATCATCTTCGTTGGCGCTTTCGTCGGCGTCGTCCTCAGCCTAGTCTACGTGCGTAGCCGGAGTCGAAGACACGACCAAGAACGGGCTTTGCGCATGAACGGCGGACCGGGAAGCGGGCTAAGGGTGTTGAGGAGTGAAGATGGCGTAGCGACAGTGCGGTTACCGTCCGGAAGGGTGATTGGCGGGAAAGCGGAGAGCTGGGATGGGAGATGTTCATCTGAAGCACCACCGCCTTATATGCCGAGGGTACCTGAGGCTGCTAGGGTGGGCCACTGAGAGAGTTGGAGAAACCCGAAAGGGGACGTCCGCTATGTTTGAGAAAACGACTGAGAGGCGCTCTTCTAATGTCGTGGCCTGTCCAGTGCATCGCGTTGCTACGACTCAGATTGGGCAGAGTACAGTATACACTCTGCTCCTCGAAAATATCGAATTTCACGAGGAGTCTTCGAACCAACGATATCGGCTGTTGGAACACGAAGATCTTTCTTTCCAGATAGGGCATTTCCAGGTATACCAGTACCAGGGCGACAGCTTAAAAGCCATCAGAGCAAAAAGACTGGGACCCGTTCTTCATCAGTCTCTTCAGATGGCTACGGCCACGCATATCATGTATGAAAAGCCAGCGCGTCATCGAGCCGAGGAGAAGTCTTCAAGAACGACGCAATGGGGAACTGAAATGACATTGGGACGGAAGTATAGATACCATAGTACTTATCATATTGATTCACCTGTATCACGATCCTAAACCACCCATATCATCATGAAAAATTCCCATCGAAGAATGAACTAACGCCAGTCTCTACCAACCCCCTCTCGCGATGTAGATGACCATTCTTGCCTCCCCCTCTTCTCTCATCGTATTGATCAAGCGCCTTGTAGGCCAAGGCCTACCCCATCGCCATTGCCTATGGAACCCCCATCGTCCCTGCTTCTATCTCTTCCTCTCCCCATTTCCCTGATTCTGCGACCCTCCATCAGGCCCCGCAGACCTCGCTTTTGGAGCCCAACCACTGCGCTCATTTCACCATTCCAGGTTTCTCTGTCTTCAATGCCACTTCCATCCCCGAAACCGCTATCGGAGGCCGAGGCCGACGTAGATTCAGACGCCGCTGAACTGACCTCATCGTCGTGGTTTCGATCTACGTCTGTGTTGACGCGGAGTGCGCGCAGACCGGCATCCAGGCTTCGTTCGACGTCCGCGACTGTGCTGTTGTTGCTCGAAACTGAATTGGAGAAGCCATTTGTGGTCCCGTTCGTGCCTGATACACCGTTGACGCCCTTGAAAGCAATACCGGAGCCACCACCAGCCGCCATGGCCGCAGCATTGAAGATGGCGGCGGTATTCCTGTTATCCAATAGTACGTGAAGTCGTTCGATAATTGCTTCCAACAGACCATCGATATGGTACGGTCGCGCTAATTGAAGGAGAGAGCAGAGAATCTGCGGTGAACATAAGGCGGAGTTATGTGGTGGTAGTGATGATGTGTATAAGAAATGTATAAGCGCTTGAAGTGTGAGATGAGTGTGAGGTAGGAATAATGTTCGAGGCCGTTGTGATGGTGAGTGTGATGAAGGTTCTGGTGGGCTTAATGAGGAGTAGGAGTTCGCTGATACAGCTGTAGCCTCTGATGGTGTTATAGTGTTGGCGGTAAGCGTTGTGGCTGTTGAGTAGTTCGTTCGGATAGAAGGTGTAATAGTAATGCTTGAGTTCCTCGAGGGATGCATTGTGGCAGTGGGCCGTAAAGTCGCCGCCTCAGCGTTTTCTTTCTCCGCGTTTTGAGCACTCTCGCGGAGCAATTGGTTGAAATAAGGACCCCAGCGTCGAGCAATGATGTGGGAATTAACGGGTATGCGCTCACCATGTAAAGCGAGGAAATCCATATCGGCAAGTTCCTTCATACCCAACGCCATTTGACCTAGCTCGGTCGCTGCGGGTAGAAGTGTGCGGCCACTAGCAAGCATATCAAGTCTATCATGCTGTGGCGGTGCGCTGACAGAGTTGAACCCTGACGCAGGCGTCACCTTGCGTGGGTTGTCATAGAGCCCGAATGCTTCTAGCTCAACAACGCACATGTTCGAGAAATTGATGCGCCGATGATTATAGTCTTCGACCAAGCTCCTCTTGCGGTTGCCAAGAATGACGAAACAATTCCGACGGTTCCAGAGCACACCTCTGTTCCAGCTTCCCTGGCTGAAGATGTTGCCGCCGGCTTCGATTCGTCCCCAACTCAGCGTTCGCAAATCAAGAGCCCAAAGCGCATATTCTTGTTTCGACGATGTCAGAAATGTGCCGCTCACTACAAAGTGGTTGTTGATAACACCACCGTTCGGGAAGCGGAGACCTGGCGGCGAGAAATTGCCGTGCATTGGCTTCTCGGAAAGCGTACCATCGGGGTGCCGCACTTGTAGTTCGAGCTTGACGTCCAGGAAGTTGTAGTTTGAATAAATGAGCATCGATGACTCGCCAGTCTTGTTCGGACTCCGTTCCTCCGGTGTTCTTGCTTCACTGCCCTGTCGTGTTCCTCCACCAATATCGTTCGGGTCAATGCTAGTGAGGGGCGCGACTACGCTTCGGTATGCGCCACAACTTCTGCCTAATGTGCTCGTTTCCGTCCACTTCAGACTCCGGAGGTTGAATACGCTGATTTGTTCAATGTAGTGATTGGCGCTGTCCTGACCACCCACAACAAGCATTTCCGCACCGCCCTCGCCATCCAACTGCACACCCAGGGAACCTTGGTTTGGATTCGATGAAGGTGGATTGTGTCGTATGGCTGTCACCGCAGCTCCGGTCGAACTGAAAACGGCCGAGCTAGGAAGGATGGTCGCGCAGTGAGCATAGCGACCCTGTGGAGATTCGCTTGTAGAAACGTGCATCCAAGTTTTTGTCGGCGCATCATAGATGTGAACATCGGACATGACCACCACCTCGGGTTGTGCATCGGCGGGAGCACCTTGTATCACGGAAGTTGCTTGATTAGAAGACGAGCTTACAGGTGACATGCCTCCATAACAAACCAGCTTCGTGTCGCCAAGCGGACAAACACTGTGGAAATACCGAGGAGGCGGGATGTCACCTTTGGCGTCGACTTTTGTCCAGTGGCGCTTGACAAGGTCAAGCTCGTACAGGTCCGATGTAAGCTGCGGTCTTGTTCTGGAAAGTCGACGGCCGCCGAAAACATACAGCTTGTCGCCTAATATTGTGGTGGTGGCGCCTACGAGCGGGTGAGGTTCCCTGCCTGTTGTGCGATGTACATTGCAGACTAAGCCCGACAACCCCGCGGTTGAACTCGTTGGTGTCGCAAGGCCTGCAAGCATGGCTGGTGACTGAGAGATACCAGGCGTCCGGGTCGACGATGTTCCATCTTGGCCTTCTTCATGATGCAAGCTGGTCTGGCTGTTGTTTCGACTCGATAAATAGGGTGCCGATGTCTGAGAGTTCAGGGTGTTGGTCCGGCTAGCCATCCTGGTCGGGATATGTAGAGAAGTAGGTGCGCGCTGAAATCCACCAAGATCGAAAATGGGATCGATAGAAGACGGTGAGACTCTTTGTAGAAGTATAGCCCAATCTGGTATCACAATCTCCACATGACGAGGCGAAACGCTGGATTCGCTGGAGGGTTTGTCGCTTGGCAATGGAGAGCCAGCGAGGCTAGGACTGCCACTCGATCGCGAAGGGCTATAACCAATATTCGTACAAGGACTTTCGGGTGTTACAATCTGATCATAGACAATGGGCACGTGCGACAAGGCCGGAGGACCACCGGATTCAGGTGTGTTTTCCGATTGGATCCTGCGATATGCGCTGGAAGCAAAGCCCGTGGAGTCGACAGGTCTTCTCTTCCTCGATAAGATTTGCTTGATGTGTAATCTTCTAGACTTTTTCCAAAACGAAGAGGTGTCACCCAATGGTTCGGTACTAGAACCGATGGATGGGTAAGAAAGGCCTAAAGGTAATGCCATGTTAGCGTTCGGTCTGTAAGATCCGAGAAAGTAATACTGAAAGAGAAGGAATCGCCAGATTTTTGAAATATTCCCATGTTACCAGCAGGGCCGGGCTACCGGCAAATCTCACTGACCCAGATGGGAAAGCCATGTTTACACATGAGGGATGAGGATGTTGCTGCAGGTAGTGCGACTTGCTACGGTGGTACGAATGCGCCTTGTAGTAGGACAAGAAAAAAAATCCAGCTTTTGCAGGCAGAGGATTCGGATACATGTTGATATTGGCTGCACGCAGCAGTGGCTGAAAGTTGTCGAGACGAAAGAGAGTGAGGGGTGCAAGCTTATAAAAGGAAGACAGGTCTTACTTGAGGGTGAGCGCCACACTTAGGAGGCCACACTTAGGAGCGGGGAAGATGAGACCCAGGGGAAGGGTAGACGTATGCAGAGAAGGAAGACAACGCGTCGTCTTGCTGAACTTCAGGGCCCGCGCGATACAGAGATGACAGCAAGCCTGAGCGAGGTTCTGTGGAGCGCTCTATCCCGGATGCAGCCTAGAGGCTTGGCGCAAATCGTCAGTCTCAGGTGCCTGCAGGTCGCTAGCAAGGGAACAATGTTGGGCGTCTCTAACGTCGAGCGCCGTCGGTGCAGCTGCAGCACTCGAAAGCTGGAGGCGTTCCTGTAGGTGAAACGGGTAGCAGCCCTGGAGGAGAAACCAGGCGACGGCCGGGTGCGGGGCGGGATCCGAGATGAGAAGATAGGCTGAAACTCGAGACGAAAAGCCGTTAGGCACCTCTGGAGACCACAGGCAGCAACGGCAAAGAGCAAAGGTCAATGTGCGACACGCAATTCTCGGAGTGCAAGGGCGCCGTAACCTTTTCCTTGACGAGGCTTGCAGAGGTACCTCATCAACGTTCAAGCACGGTCACCAAAACAAATTAGCGCAGGGAATGCCGGTCGACAAATCAAGAGTCGTATGCTCAATATTAGAGGCGCTGTTAGCTTAGCAGGCCCGTCTAGGTGTCTTCATATCGGATGATCGGTGAGGCTGAACCCAAGGAATTATTTGGAAAGCGTGAATGTAGTAGTCGAGGACGTTCCGGTAGTGCATCGGACTGTGCCGAAAAGAACGGGCTGGAATAAATGCAGTAGTAGTAGACGGTGCCGAAACGTTGCTTCTCGGCCTCTAGCACCGTCGTCATTGTTTTCCAATCGGAGGCTAGACACACTCAGCGCGCTCTTGAGTCGACACAATTACAATGCTAGTTCGATATACGTCGTATTTACGACGCCGTGTATTCAGCCGAAGTCTTGCAGATTGAGGGATTCGTAGATGTTCAAGAAGACGGCCAATCCGCTACGTTGGTACACTAGACCCTGGGATTCTACACTCGATTCTACGATAGGGAACTCGAAAATTGGACAGGTTGTATAACTTTTCAGTGCGATGTTATTACGATACTACTCCATAAAAAACGATCCCTCCTAGACGACAGCGACTCACGGCTGGAAGGAACGACATGTGCGTAGCCGCACAATGACTCGAGTACATTGAGCAAGGAGTCTAGATGGAAAAGTAAACCTTGTTACTAGTCAAAACCACGTCATCGCAGGGTAACACGACACTAGAGCATATTAGAGTTGGTGTTGGCTGCCGCCTACACTGAATCGAAACCATGTGTATGAAGAGTACACAAGCATGCGGAGATTCCTACACAGAGTATGTAGTAGGGGTTCGTATAGTATGGCTCTTTTGTAAGTATATAGTGCGACACAGTTTCCGTCGTGCCCAATTTTGATCGAGATGGTAGTCAAGACGTTGAAAACAATAAAAGTGCAGAATGTTCATCAAACACACCACTCGCTATCCGTCATGCGGATGTCATCCCAAGACGAAGGCTGGAAGGAGAACCTCAGTCACACCCCTCAATCACCTCTAAGCGATGAGATACCCCATGCGCCTTGTCGTAGATGTCGCGAGCCTCAGCAACCAGCTGCTCCCTCTTGACCCAAGACGCCAAGTGACGCTGCCCTACCCATTTGACAAGGTATTCAACATGGCCATCACTGCCAGTCTTGTGTGCCTGTATCCGCTTGTATGGCCACTCCCAACTTGCCTCATCATCTGCTTTCATCGACCAGACGCCCCAGCCCTCCTTCATCTCTCCGTTCTCTTTCTCGTATTCCAACGCCCATTGCCTCAGGAACGCTGCAATCCAGGGTTCTTCATCGGGTGGGTAATCGTCAAAATCGTGTTCGCGGGGTGGGAATTGGGTATGCTCGAGTTTGGGTGCGCTGAGCTCTGAGCCATAGTGCTTGCGCGCATCTGCGATGTTGATGGCGAGCAAGAAAGGATCCAGCAGCTCAGCAAGGTCGAGACCTGTATGAAACTGCCATTCGTATCGCTTCAGGGTGGTACGAACGTGAGCGAGGAGTCGTTTCTCTGCTTGCTTTGGTAGTGTATAGGTTTCGTCGTCTTGAGCGAGCTGTCGAAGGGCATCCTTGATACTACCGAGCATCTCTCTAGCACGTACTGTCACTACAAGTGATCCAGCAGCCGCATTCTCTCGCGCCCATGCTGCGCACAACTCGCACGCATCTGGTCGTAAGGGAAGGTGCGCATCGCACCAAGGTAGTGGGCACTTCGTACTCGAGGAGAGGTGCGTCTCAATACATTCTCGGCAGAAAATATGAGAACAGCCAATCTTGACTGGTATCACCTTCTCGCGGCCGTCGGGGGTGCTGAGGTAGTCTTCGAGACAGATTGAACACTGCGCCTTCTCTGCGGACAGTTGCCTGGTAGCTCGGACAATGGTCATGGAGTGAGGACATGATGCTGCGCTCGACTTGCGCCTCGGTGGAGGCAATTCCAAAACCTCTTGCTCAGATGATGGTGCCTTTCGCTTTCGTGGGCTTGTCCATACACCGGTGAAGTCCGTGCTGATGTTGTCAAAATAAGGAATGGGCATCCTGAGAAGCGCAGTTGCAGTGCCAAACCCCAAAGGAATTAATGAGGTCAATTCAAACAATTGGGAACAAAGTGACAGCGTGGGGGAGATGGTGGAAGAAGTGGCTCAAGACGTGGGAGTTGGAGCACGCGAGGCTACCGCTGTCTTTAAAGATGGGAAGGTGCGCCTCACCGCGACTCCCCCGTTTGCACGGAAACGGCATGAGGGCAGCACTGGTGGTAAAAGACCGGAATGTAAGGTAAGAGGCAGTCGGAACCAGCTGACGGTTCGTTCGAACTATCTGCCAGGTGACTCATTGCGGCGCGGTATCTTGTGTTACAGGCACTTTCTTCTCTCTGACAACGGGTATCTCCTCCTCATACACTTCTTCCACACGCGCACCAGGGAACGCTTTCCTAAGCTCTTGGCCGAGGAAGCGAATGCCCCAATCTTCCCCTTGCCGATGTCCTACGCAGGCTACTGACATGCCCAGCGCTTTGGCTGCTTCCATGCCACTGACTCTGGGTTGACCAGTCAGGTAAAGCAAGTGTCCACCGTCTTCACCCTCCGTTATCCACCCACGCTCCTGAGCCATTGCCAACACGCGATGCACCTCGTCCTCGTTGAAGGCGTTCATGATCGCAATGATGCGTATCTCGTCCGAGGATCCTTCGTGCGCGAGCTCCGATGCTCCAAACTCATTCTGTACTTGGCTCAGGACTGCATCCAGAGATTTAGAGACCTGACCAAAGATTCCAATCTTTCTCTCTGGATCTCCTTTGTAGCCTTGCACGCAGAGGCAGTCCGCCGTCGCCATGCCCAGGCGCTCCGCCAGCACCGTGTTCCATCCAACAGTGAGGACTTCGTCGAAAGATGTATGGCTCGAAAGTACAAGTGTTCCTTTGCGCACGCTGCGCCTGTCGAGTTGGAAAGGCCGGTGCAGAAAGCATAGTGTTCGCGGCGGCCGGGGGTATATTCTTGGGAGGAGCGTCGTTGCGCCAATGGTGCTCTCGTCTAGTGGGTAGCCGATCAACGAGTATACCCCTGGTGTAGGGGTAACACTCAATACAATCTGCTCAACCACGGCGGTCTCAGGGTCGTATCGAGGGTTTCGCGGCGTGTGGTAGAGTCGCTGGACATCGTTTTCCTTTGGCGGTAGGAACGTCTCGACGAATCGCGTTACGGCTGCATGCGTGGGCTTCTTCGGTCGCGACATTTTAAAGAGGGAGGTCAGCAGTCTGTTCATTAGTAGTGATCAACAAAGCCTTTCGAAAGCTTCGCGACTTTTGACTTCAAGTACGTCATCATCGCTTCTAAACCGTGAAGCGGTGGGTGTGCAGGCCCCGCCATCGTTCCCATCGCGTTCACCGTCGCCATGAATACGCCAAAAAGTGGGGACAATGTTTCGAAGGCCGTGTTCGTCGCGCGACGCGATGATGTACAGTGCAGAGTGGTATCGTGGCGGGCACCTGGGAAGCCCTGGAGCGCGTTGATCGGTCGGGAAGACGCTAGTCCCATTGCAGTCTAGTCTCAATACAGCCACTCTATCTCCATCCGCATTTTCTTAATGTGGAT